TTCCACGACCGCACACCCCCTTTCCTCATCACAGACGCCCCCAAGCTGGCGGGCCGCCGCACCAAGGCGGAGGCGGAGGGCCTGTCGGAGCAGGAGCAGGTGGGGGCGCCGCACACCCGGGCCTGCAGCGCCCTGGGTGCCCCATGTTGCAGAGCCAGGTGGCCACAGAGCGGCTGGCAGCCGCTGGCTCACGCAGTGCTTGTTGAAGCGAGCTGTGCAGTCGGCCCGCTCTCGATGCGCAGCTGGGCGCAACTGCCTACTCTGTGCAACTGGCCGACAAGCTGTGTTGGTGCATTTTTGCGATTTGCTTTTCCCCTATGCGTGCATGCTTTCACGCACGCGCTTGCACCACCCTGGACGTGCGCGCAGCGCAGACACTCATTCAAATTGGCGCGCATGTGTGCGTGCACGCACACACACGCACGCGCGCGCGCACAGCGCACGCACACACACACACACGCGCGCGCACACACACACACACACACACACACACACACACACACACACACACACACAAAGACACACACACACACACAAAAAGACACGTGCACTCATCATGCCCCCTCTGCTCATGCCTGCCCTTCCTACCACCACACGCCGCCAGATCCGCATGCAGCAGGAGCTCTTTGCCCAGGCTCGCGCGAGGTCCATGTCGCTGGCGGAAGCGCAGGAGTCCTCCGCGCGTGCACATGTCACGGCGCACCAGCAGCAGCAGGAGCAGCAGGGGCTGATGGGGCCGCCGCCACCTCATCAAACACAGCCGCAGCCCGTGGCGCGGCAGCAGCAGCACGAGGAGGGGGAGGAGGACGGTAGTGGTGGCGGTGATGACGATGAAATGACATAGCGGCCATCTGGGGCTGTGGCTGCTTGAAAGCCCCGACGTGCCGAAGAGCCCCTCCTGATCGCTCTAACGCAACCGTTCCTCTGAGCATCCAAGGTTGCTGCAATATGCAACACCCGACTGCAAGATAGTCCAGATTTCATCAAGCTAGAGGTGTTACAATCAATTTTTACGTTGCTGGGAACCCTACCAGTGCTGGATGCGTGGTTGGCGTGCGTACAGCACAGTCTGCGCATCGTGCGAGGGAATTGATGGCGCGAAATGCATTTGCCACCTAAGATCGGGCGCCCAGCGCAACAGCGCATCCCTGCCCGCGCTGGTGCAGCAAGACACAGCCTACGACCAATGTGGTGCTGGCAGCTTGACGTGCTGTGGCAGCTCGTTTCACAGAGCAAGGGGTAGTAGGCAGCCTGCTTGATGCTTTTGCTGCTGCCCACCAGCCGGCCACGTGCAATCAACAGTGCAGTATAGTGGTTGTGAGTCCGCCACAACCCATCAAGGGCCACAAAACAGACAAGGGATTGTCAAAAACCGGCGCGAATGGGCATGCGCTTGAGCACGGTGCAGAATCAGCCTCGCGCCGAGCGCCTCGCATCGCGCCGGCATGTGCCACGTGGAGCGGCGACTGCGCACCCCAGTTGAACTGCTAACCTGAGGCCATCCACGGCCAGCAAGGGGTGGTTGAGCGTCGGTGGCGTCGCTGCCACCCGAAAAGTGGCCCTTTTGCGGGCTCATTGAGCTGGCACAATGTTGATGCGAGCCGGGTTGCTTGTTCGTTCCCACGCCATTGCGTGGTGGTCTGCAAAATCTTCTGACAGGCTACAATTGTCAGCTGGTTCACGCCATTGCGGCGTTCAGTGGCCGGCGCCGTCTTCGCGGCCGGCCGTAGCGAGACGGGCGGCGATGTGGCTGTGCCACACAGGGCCGCCGTGGGACGCCTGCGCCGCATCCTGCCGGTACTCTGGAGGGATGTCGTCACTGCAAAAGGGGAGGGAGCAGACAGGTGAGGTGAGCAGAAAGCAGAAGGCGAGCGGGAAGCTGCAAGAGCCGAGGTCAGGGGATATGGCAAGGGGCATGCGGCGTGCGCAAGCCAGTGCGCGTCTGCCAAGCTCCCTGGGTTTCGGTCAGGAAACACGCAGCAGCGCTTTCGGGCATATGCCGCTGAAGCTCACATATCAGTGGCAGTATGGCCGGCGGGCTTTCCTCCAAACAGCAGTGACAGCAGCCGGCCAACGGCATTGCCGCCGCCGTCTGCCTGGCGTTGCCCCTGAGATCCCAGGACGAGAGCGCGCGCAGGTGGGGCCAGGCTGCGGCGCGCAACGCGCGGCTGCTGCGGGCGCGCCACAATGCTGCGGTGAGCGACAAGAGCCATTGTGCCTGTTGCTGGAGCGGTCGGTGCGTTGAGGAGGGGCGAGTGACTTTGATGCCGTTCGCGAGGGCGATGTGCTATTGATTTCGTCAACTGTGATAAAGCTTGAATGAAAGGCCTGTAAAAACTACACATGCCGAGGCTGTTATTTGGGTGATGCCGCCGGGCTGCCAGCTTCATGGCCGCTCCAAGCATCTGGGGTGGGGGGCACCTCGTCGAGCACTCGTGCACACTTTTGATGAGCGTGGATGCCTACCGATTTGTCGGCAGCACTTCGCAGGCCGCGCCCTTTTTGCGGCCAGGCCGGGTGGCGGCCACGGGTGCCCCTGCCAAAATCAACAAGGCAGTGTAGCAGGGCTGCCACAGGCTGGCGCCCCCTTGCCTCGCTCAGACCCATGGACTCTGCTGACACGTTTACACTCACGTAAGCATTATCCAACGCGGCCTTGCAGGCTCTGAAGGAACCTTTAATAGAAGTTGCGTAGGGTCACTTGACAGTCCAACAACCCATCGAAACCCCCATAGCTGAATGCTCGGCGTGGCTTCCTGCAATTATAACAGTGTAGATAGGGCGGCCGACAACAAAATTGTGACGCAGTCAGTCACAGCAAGCCCAGTACCTTCTAGTGCTCACGCAAGCGCATGCACAGAAGCACGCGCGCGCGCGCGCGCGCACGCACGCACGCACGCACACACACACACACACACACACACACACACACACACACACACACACACACAAACATGCAAACACCCAACCTGCTCTACTGGACCGTAACGCCCTGTGCCGTATTCGTTCCTGCGGCGCCCTCAGAATCTTCATGGCTGCCCTTGCCCCACCGCTTCTCGCACCGCTGCATCAACCGCCGCTGCCCTCGTCCCCGCAGCCCTCGCGCTCCCACGCGTCCCCCTCCCAATCATCGCCCTCATTGTCCGCGCCGACGCACGCTGCGTCAGCAAGCGCAGCCTGGGCCGCCGCCGCCGTCCGCCACACACGCCACGAGCCATCATCCTGCAGTATCCTCACATCATCGTCGTCGTCTTCGCCGCGATACGCCGCGCAGCTGTGCTCCGCCCCCGCCTCCGCCATCACCGCGAGCTGCGCACGCACGTGCTGCAGCATTCCCTCCAGCGCCGGCCGCTCCCCCTCCTCCAAGCAGCCCGCGGCCGCCGCCTCGAGCACGCAGCAGGCAGCTTCCATTACGTCTGCCTGCCCAGCAGGCTGCAGCAGGCCGGCAGCGGCGAGCGTGTGCGCGGCAGCGAGCACGGTCTCCAGCCGCTGCGTCAGGCCATACAGAGGGATAGGGCAGAGCCTCCCAGGGTCGGAGTACGGCGTCCCTGGGTCGACGGGGCTCCAGCTCCCGGCACCGTGCGAGGGCGGCGGCGGCGACGCAGGCGCCACGAAGGGGCGCGGCGGGAGGCGGAAGGGCAGCGGCAGGTG